CATCTATCAGGACGGGTCTCACCTGCTAACCATGAGACCTGGTCTCATATAATTTTTTCCATTGGATGGCTGGATGGATGAGATACGGTGTGCGGCAACGTATGCATATGGTCTTGATCCGGGTTGTCTTTCTTAGGCGATCTTGATGATGATCCGTGTTTGGCGGCCAGGAGAGGGACATGGACAACCGACAGTTAAGGATGCAGGCCCATCACATCGCAGCTGTAATGACTGTTGTCCACATCATCTTCTCAAAGAGAGAGAGAGAGACTGTCGTCCACAGCAACTGGATGTTGGCCCAACCACAGTAACCTGGATGTCTAAGAAAAATGTAATTGAGTAGTACTCCCTTTGTTAACGGGAGACAAAAAACCTCACTTCACTAATGCAATGACTCACATCATTGGACATGCCAACATCAACAAACTCATTGAAATCCTCCATGTTGTCACATGAGAAATAACATAATATTAGGAGCATTGTACAAAGATCCTCCATCTTTTTATAATATAACAGAGAAAAGTGCGGAGTTTATGTCGCACATAGCGTGTAATCCGAGTTCGACTCCTTTTACTTTGGTGACGAGTGCTTCTAAGTCGAGTAGAAAAATAAGGGAAACAATTTATTTTGTTCTAAAAAAATATAGCATATGACCAACAAAAAATGAAGACTTTTTATTGTGATTTAGACATGTTTTTTTGCGTGTATTATACATAATATTTTTCTCTTGAGTTAAAATATTTTCATACGTCAAATATTGGTATTACAACATCTTAGTTCTTGACATCAGCAGTTCTGATATAAAGAAGTAGTTCAACCGTGGCATGTGCACCTAAACAAAACACCTACGAATTAAGTTACAAACGAACGGGTTCAACAAATTTAGACACCAAGAAGAAATTTATCAACTCATTAACTGAATAAGCCTCGGACCATGTAGCAAAATTATGATATTTTTGGAGCATAATTAAAAATTGTCTCGGTATATGAGGCGAAGTAACTATTGATATTAAATTTTCTTGTCGAATATCTTATTGTTCTTAAAAAAACTTATAGTGTACTTTGATTGGAATTGGATTATACTTTACTTTAACTTTAATCTTACTTTTTGATTATTTGGCAATTCATATATATATCAAGTTGTATTCTTTATGAATGGGTCTGCTCATGTCTTCCTACGCGGTGGGCGCCACATTGTCTGATCTGGGAGACCGGACGCACTGGTGATGATGATCCGATTGCATGATAATGTCATGTCCGCCGTGGGTGATCTTGTGTAAGCCGCGTGTTAGTACATCCCATTAATTTTTTTGAATAATTCAAAATCTTGATCGGCCATGATCTATGTTTTTTTTTCTACTGCAAAGACATCTACGTAATTTTGTATGTGTTCACGTTAAACTCAACTTGCATGTTCACATCGACGTGAGCAGGGTCACCAACCATGCATGCTCCTTCTCAGACATAGATCATTTGCCTTCACATCTTTGGGTCCGGCTCTCCTGCTGTGTTCCCTGCACCCAGTATTGTGCAGGGCCAATCAATGGGCGACACATGTCCAGGTAGGCCCCACATCTTAAAAACACATTTTCTTTTTTCAATTACTCAAATCCCCTTATCTTTCTCTCCTAACCTACTCTCGGAGCAGCCATTAGAGCTTCGCTAGAGGATTCTTGTGAGCTCTGAGCTGCACAAGCTTATAGCGTCCACCACGTACGTGTGCCATGGCCGGCACCAAGGCAGCAGCTGCTATATCATCCATGTCGTCCGCGCCCGCATGCTGGTGATTTACGTGGACGAGCGCGAGCCCATGGCCCAAGGCAACGCCAGCTCCATGATCTAGCATTTTGGCAGATTCCGAAGTCATTGACGAAGTTCGGGAAGTGGAATGCGGCCGCCATGTTTTAGCTACCTGGCCCGGCTTTGTGCGCGTACACCTGGGGCGAGGTCAGCGACTGCTGGCGGAGGTGTTCGGGGAGAGGATCTCGGAGGGAAGCAAACCACCACACCAGCGGCGGCCATGGGGATGCGCGGGCGCATACGGCGTACCTAGGCGTCGCCGGCGCTGGGGCAACCAGTTTGCTTACGTCCACAAGAATCACCGGCGAGGGTGAAGTCGGCCGCCTAGCTGCCGGTCATGGCCACGGCCCCACGTGATGGACACTATGAACCGATTGCGCTCAGAGGAATCATCTCTCGGAGCTCTCTAATGGATGCGATCAAAGAGAACATCGGAAGGGAAGATAAGGGAATTTGAGTAATTGAAAAAAGAAAATACGTTTTTGAGATGTGGGGCCTGCCTGGACATGTGTCGCCCATTGGTTGGCCCTGCACAATACTGGATGCAGGGAACCCAGCAGGAGAGCCGGACCCCACATCTTTCACAAATGGAATCCTCTTGAATCCTCAATCATGGTCGATCTCTTTCTTTTCTTCCTCATCTTCCACACGCAAATGGAAGCTTCCTTTTCTCCTCATCTTTCACATATGGAAAGCTGTCTTCTCTCATCCTCAGTCGCGACGGACTCAGGGTTGCCTTCTTATTTAATTCCCTCTTTCCTTCTTTGTTTTTCTAATCACATCTGAAATCCATCTTCCTTTCCTTATTCTCTCAATCCATCTTTCCTTCCTTATTATGAGACGTCTTATTTCCTCCTTAATGATTCCTGGTATGGCTCCTCGATACCCAAAAAAGATCAAGACATATATAAATTAGTAAAATTAGATCTAAGCAAGCAAGGTGAGACTATTTTTTTTTTTTTTGAGGGGGCAAGGTGGGACTATTTAATAGGTTAATCAACATTTTGTATTATCATATCTTGCGATCGAGCTTAGTTGGTCGACACATCACCTGTCGAATGGTTAGGTTGTGTGTTCAAGTCGTCCACCAGCCAGATTTTTTTTGCATCGGCCGCCTTGGTTGGCCAGGATAATTTGGCCTGGCAAGGCCCAAATCCAGCTGACCTGCATGACTCATGTGGGCTCTTTTAGTATCTGTACGAAACAGGCTCAGTCCCAAAATACCCTGCAACGGACTCAAAAGTGAGATCAGACAACGTTTAGTACCACCTCGTACATGAGCAAAATAAGACGGACGGACTGCTAGAACGTGACCCAAACTAACGGAAAAAATTAATTGCGGGACGAAACCAAAAATATCACCTTGCTTTATTAGTAGGTAAATAGATTTAGATCATGTATTAGCTTTGGTCAAAGTCAAGCTTTATAAATTTTGACAAAATTTATAAACAAAAGTACTAACATATACAATAATGAATCGATATCATTAGATTTATTATCAGTTTTGCTAAAGCACATCTAGATGTGCCCTAGACACACCCATCTATTATTGAATGTACTTTCACATCATATAGGTTTGTTATGATAAATGTTCATATTTTTCTTTATGAATTTGGTCAAATTTTATGAAATTTGATTTCAGTCAAATCTAATATGTAGAGTAAATAAAAACTGAGGGAGTAGTATGTTGGGTGAGTGCGTTGGAACTCTTGAGCCCTGACTGAGCAAATTACGAGCTTATTACACTGTGCCACTAGTGGTAAACCAGTATAGTACATTTCTAATTACACTTAGTACCCCGCAGCCATCCCGTCACAGATATGCCCTATATATTAGAAAAATGTACACTTGGTACTTGACTCGAATAGCCAAAATAAAAAAGAGGAGTGCTTGACTCGGACGTATGTACAACACTCTACTAGGCTCTGAACTCTCATCAACACACACGAACGAGACTATCAAGCAACATTTCATGAAGTTTCCGGCGGTTCAACCCAGCAATTCACTAATATTAATACAGGGCCCTGCGCACCTGAAAAAACAAAGAAAAGCAAGATATGTCACGGTAAAATAAGATGGAGTACTAAGTAATAACAGCAGTTGATCGATCTGTTAGATGCTTGAGTGTAGAATTGTCACCTCGAATCCGACGAGCGAGCGGGTCCGGCTGTAGACGGTGGACACGGTGGTGGCCGCGGTCACCACGGAGCTGGTGGTGGACCCGCACTCGCTGTCCTTGAGCGACGCCGTCGACGTGTCCAGCCTGACCGACGTCGACGACGACCACGGCCGGTGGAAGAAGGGCGACTGCCGCGGCGCCGACCCGGCCTGCTGCTGCGACGACGACCGCTGCATCCGGGCGCCCCGCGGCACGCTCCTGTGCTCCGCCCCCTTCCGCCTGCCGCTCGGCTGCCTCTCCAGCGCCTCGGCGGCGGCGCGCTGCTTCGGCGCGCTCTGGGACCGCGCCTTGGCCCTCGACGACTCGGTGTTGCTCATGTAGCTCGGGAACGCCAGGTCCGACGCCGCCGGCTCCGCCATGGCCGCCGACGCGTTGTGGGAGT